TCTTTCTTAAAGTTTTGAGGCGTTCTTCGCCAAAGAAAATTAATTAATTCATTCAATCATTCAGTTACTAGTGCGTTCGTATGCGCATTCAGTCAAGAAAATGAAGCGGGAGATTGATGTTCTTGCATAGGCTCGAGCTCATAATCGAAAATTTTCAGGGAAAATTCTTTTCCACATCTTTCGGCTGATCCACCTTGAAACGTGCAATCTTTGGTGATCCGATAACTGTTCAAAGCAAGGAAATTAGTTAATGGAGTTCCTGGAGAGAACGATCAGATGAGAGTATCTGAGTGAATTTAAGGCAGCAGAACAATCAACACTTCGTTTGGAGGAAAATGATTTGTCAGCGCCCACGGTTTCGACTTTAAACGAGGGTTAAATAGCAGGGCTACCTACGGAAGGCCTTTATTCTATTCCAGGAACAGACTACCTAAGTAACTTTGAGTTTAAGAAAAGAAAGTTAGGCCTGTAGGACAAACTGATCGAGGGCAAAAATTTACTCCAGCTCATGAGTTCCTCGTGTGGAAGCCGAAACACGACAGACGCATGCTATGGGGTCAAGCAGATTTGCTTTCAGAAAGTGACATTTCCCTCTGCGGTGCAGTATTTAGTGGTGTATAACAAAATGTTGGAAAGTTGGGAATGTAGCGGTTATCAAAAATCAGAGAAGATATGTTAATCCAAGCAGCTCAGGTGGATAATCTCAAAAAATATAGACAGCACAATTTTCTGTTCATCGAAGCATTTCATTATTGATGGCCAGTAATAACTCCAGGGAGTATGCATGCATATTTTGTAATCGTTACTGTTTCACAGACCGTGTTCTTGAAGAGAAGCGGAACAATCAATAATCGTTGCATTTTCTCTCTGTCGTACTGCGAGGATATCAGTTCATATGCGTTCATTAATAAAGACCGATTGACCTTGAGACACGGACGTAAGTCAGTTGGCAGCTATAATTGTAGGCATGGATTTACTTTTGCCTTCCGTTAATGCAGCATGTGCTTCTCATGATGTTTACTCATTCATTCATCGATAGCCGTTAATGACCAGTAGTCATGACCATCTCCTCGGCTTGGGAACGGATGGACTCAAGTGCTGTACACCCTGGCTGTTTTGCACAGTCACAGACAAACAAGTGTTTCCCAAAGTCCCGGCTCAACAGCGACGTTTCTTTCCATTTCCTCCTCTTTGCGCGTTGCCCAATCAGGAACGAGTGTGTAATGAGTGAAAGAGGGCGAATGGCAATGCTCGCTTCACTCCACCCACCGCCTCGCCAGCGCCGTACATCCGGCGAGGAAAAAATATGCACTTGTTGAGTGTGTCGAGAGGTGAAAAGCTTCTAACAGAGTCCTCGCGTGTCGTGAGCGCTAATTTTTAGCCACTGAACGCGTTGTGTTTCATTTGCAGGACGGAAGCCCGCGTTTCGGATGAACGTTTCCGTTGACAAGGCTGTGATCACGTGACCTCCGCAAAATCAGTGAGTGGTCAATTTCCGTCGAATACGGTGCCGCCGGCTTGACGACAAGTCATATCTGCAAGTGACGGGGTGGTATGGTACTGGTCGACTTTCATAGAGACGGACACTGAGGCAGGTTGGTTTTGGTCAGCAACAAGCGTCCGTCACGTGACCGACTGCAAGTGGACAATGTCCGATAAAATTCCGATGCTAGCAGAATGGGGGGACGACCAAAGTTTGGCGGCGGCAAGTTTGCCAAACGAACGCAAGTTTGTGGGCGAAGATCATGAATCAATTTGATCGGCGTTGATAAATCACTTTGGTTATTGATTTGCGGACAGTTTCATAGGCTGTAGTTTTTGCCCGTGTCTTCGCCTTTTGTCGCATTTGAATCTGATGCTGTATACAAGTGTTTGACTTGGCGAACGAAATTAAATTTCTCGAGGAGTCGTGACGTTGCAGGAAGTCGGTGATCGCCTTCGCCGTCGCCCAACTCTTCATCACCGCCGTTGGAGCTGGAGCCTTCGCCGAAGACCGGCGGCCGGCACCGATGTCGCTGTTGCCATCGCTGGTGATTTGCGCGATTACGGTATGCGTTGTGGTCGGTCAGTTGGTCAGAGGTCAGCAGGCGAATGACCAACCGGCATTAAACTCAGCAACCGGCCCCGAAACGGAACCGTCGCCCAAGCCGACCTGCGTGTCGGACGTAGACATCGTTAATTGGCTAGTAGATATGCGCCAAAGTGGCTACAACCGCCACCGAATTCCAAAGCCAAACGACATGCGCGTGAAAATCAATATGCAGATTCAGGCGATCACGTCGATCTCGGAGGCGACTCAGGATTTCGAGGTGGACTTATACCTGAACGAACTCTGGCACGACCCGGGTCTTCGCTACGACCACCTGGGCGCCTGCAAACCGAACATATCGCTCGACCACACGGTTTTGGACAAGATCTGGACACCAAACACGTGTTTCATCAACTCCAAGGAGTCGTCCGTCCACGCTTCGCCGTTCAAGAACATCTTTCTGCTGATTTACAACAATGGCACGGTGTGGACGAACTACCGTATCAAACTGACCGGCCCGTGCCAGATGGAGTTTCATTGGTTCCCGATGGACGTGCA